CGGCTACATTTGTGAAAAACTTTCAATTAGAGAGAGAGTAGACGAAGAACACATTACCGTGGCTGAATACGTTTGTGCCATCTTTGTAATGATAATATAAATGCGTGTCTCGGTAATAAGTTGGCTGTGACCCAGAAAACCAATTACTGCTGGCGCGATAATTCTTATAAAGACATTTATGCACGCCATCAATTAGCTTCAAGTTGCCGCAGCAGAATAATCTATTGACGCAACTCGATGTTTTCTAGTGATTGTTTGTAATTATACTAACGTTACCACCTCTAGAGATCTAACTGTTTGCAATGACAATTAATAAAAATCGCAAAAGCGAAACGTTTTACTTTTCGCATAGGGCCCTCGTTCTGACATTCCTTTTATCATTATATTTTTTATTGATGAAACATGTATTTGTTCAATGTTATTTCATTTTCTCAGGATTTATTTTTTTACTTGTTGGAATGCATGTTGAATTTCGATAAATTATAATTTATTATGTATACAATGTTAAGGTAAAATTTGCATATATACAATCAATTTTGTATAATAACGTTTTTTTCATTCATTGTACATGTAAAAATCTCAAAGAGAAATGTTAAAATAATAATATTGAAGTAAAATTTAGGGTATCGATATATTTTTAATTATATTATAACTAATTTTCATATCAAGAAACATTATAGGCTATAGAATAATAAAAAAATAAATATAAGCTTGCATATATTTTGACGATCAGATTTGATTTTTTATTATATTTTTGACTGTTTTTTTTTCCTTATATTGTAATGGTGTGAAAATGGTATGTAATACATCTAAATATTATACGGTAACAAATCTAAACAATTCATAACTCAATAGTTACTATAGTCTAACTTACTATAATAAAGATAATATGTAAATTTTTATTTTACAGTATTTATCTTTAACTATTATATCCTATACTTTTATGTTTTGTTTTTTTCCAATCCCACAAATAGAAAGAGCTTCCCTTTTTTTTCGGTGATCGACATTTATTGAGGTATATTTGCCATTTGATTATAAACATTAAATTAGAAATTAAGGAGGTTTTAGTTAAATATTGTTATCATTTATAATGACTGTACAAAATATTAATATAAATAATAATAATGGTAGCAGCTTAGAAATTATTTTTCAAATTTACTTGAAAAAAAATAGTAGTATAAATAATAATAACGATAGTAGCTCTCAAATTATTTCTTAAATTTACTTGAAAAATTCCCTTACATTTTAATTTAATGGATCAACTATCCTCACATTCTATATGATGAAACAATATACTTTCTTTACCACTGAATTGATATGAATTAATAAAATTATAAGTACATTCTGATTACTTTTTGTAATTAGAACCTTGAGAATATGGAAAATTTCTCAAATTAATATGCAGTCAAAGATTTTAATATGAAAATAATTTTAAACATGAGTTATTATGATTTGCCATTTGATTATAAACATTAAAACATTAATTAAGAAATTAAGTGAGTTTTAGTTAAATATTGTTATCATTTATAATGACCGTACAAAATAGTAGTATAAATAATAAAAAATGGTAGCAACTTACAAATTATTTTTCAAATTTACTTGAAAAAAAATAGTAGTATAATTAATAATAACGATAGCAGCTCACAATTGATTTTTTAAATTTACTTGAAAAATTCCCTTTTATTTAATGGATCAACTATCCTCACATTCTATATGATAAAACAATATACTTTCTTTACCATTGAATTGATATGAACTAATAAAATTATAAGTACAATCAGATTACTTTTTGTTATTAGTACCTTGAGAATATGGACAATTTCTCATACTAATATGCAGTCAATGATTTAATATGAAAAAAAAATGAGTTATTTGCCATGTTTGCGATGAACATTATTTATTTGATACTATTAATATTTTTCAAACTACTTGTTTTTTGTATTAATTAGAATCATAGTAATATACAATTTTTCAAAGTAATATGAAGTGATATGAATTGATGGAATATCCGTAGTTTGAATTTTTTATTTCCAATCATATGGACTCTTTTTGTGAAATAATATTAAGAATTAATGTGCTAATTCAATAATATGATTTTATATATACAATAAAATTCTGAATTTATGTATATATAAAATGGAATACAGTTGAAAGCTTAAAATGTAAGAAATATATAAAGTTATGATAATCTAGATATATAAAACCAAGATATTGTCCAGTAGAGTAGCAAATTTAGTGAAATTGGGGTAGTCCGTACGGACGGAACATATTTCCAGGATGGCTGGATACGTATACCCTGTGGGAAAAGTCTTGGTTTAACAAGTCAAACTGAATTCCTAATTATACGGAACCACTTTTCTGAGATCAAATTCAATAGGCCCTCTCTATATGACTGGGCAGTGAACGAGGGCCCAAAAAATAAATGGCTGATAAAGGCGACTTGGAGTGTTCTTTACTACAACAATCTATCATGTCCAGAGAATCAATACGATGGTCGTTTCGCGAGCCAAGCGATTTAAAATTTCTCCTACAATTGTCTGAGTATCGCGCTCTTTCACGAGACAGTAAATGGAATACAAAATTAAATCGATAAAAGCGAACTTGCAGAAGCGACGTTGAAATAAAGGTAAGTAATTGCAATGTAAGTAGGCATCGGTATACTGGTCGCTTCAGTTTCTCCAAGAAAGAAAGTGCTTGAAGATAATTTCTTTTTTCAAATGAAATGCAACGCCAGTCAAACAAAGATATCCATTACTAAAATTATGACTCTTAAATATTTTCTTCAAATGAAATAAATTATGCTTTTACTCGACTAAAACTTTTATTGTTTTTGTGATGACTTTTCATTTTATTTTATTTTATTGTCACAATATGCTCCTTTTCATACAATTTTATAGACAATTGCAGTTACACTTTGAGGCTTATGAGACGTTGAGGGTGTGCAAGTATCAAAAAAGTCACGCGAATGAACAATACGCGATGTTACAATGAGAATATTCATTCGCTGCTAAGCAGTTGAATGCTTGTCCCAATGTGTTAATAGTTATTATGTTCGCCTTTCAATTAAGTTTCATTGAAAACATATATAAAACTTTCATTATGAATAGGCAAAAATATAAAGGAAGAAAATCGGATTTTTATTTGCTATTATTTAAAGAAATGCTTCCACGAAGAAAGAGATACGTTTGTTTATTCATTTAAGAGCATTGATAATTAAGGCAGCGCCACGGAAATGAGAAAATGTTACTGTATAACGTGTGCACTTGTTTTCATTAGAGAGGCGCTTAAGCATTCAACATTTTTAAGTGAAAATACTTATGCATCATGTAGGGGAATTTCTTATTCTTGAGATGAGAGTTCACCTTGATCCCGCAATTTCCTCTGCGGTCTCTTGCCAGATTAAAAGCATTCGCGACGCGAAAGGAGTCTCGCGCACGTCTCGCGATTTTTGATGCTTTGTCACGGTGGACAGAGAGAAAAGAAAGGATCGAGAGAAAGAGCGAGAGCAAAAAAACAAGTCAAAACGGCCATTCGACATTGTTTCAGTTGCCGTCTTTTTGCACCATCGGAAATAGAGTGGAAAATGGCTTTGGAACGCGGCCCAGCAGCGAGTCGCGGCGGGCGCCGCGATAAAAATGATGAAAACGCGTATAGCTCTTTTAGCGGCTTGGATTTTCAAGGCGACTCTAAATCTTGCCGTTTCCCTCACCACCTCGTCCTCCCTTTTCTCTTATCACGAAGATAAGCGTCGCTAACACTCCCATTCCTCGTCGCCCGATTGTTTGCTCCGGACGTTACTGATTTACGAGTAAAGGCAAACAAGAGGATCGCATTTCCCGTGTCGCCTGCTTTTCTTCTTTCAATTTTCATCCAAAAGTGCGTTCCGTTCAAACACTGTACTTTCGCGCGCGAATAATGATGTCGAGCTCTTTGTTGATTTATCCAAGTGCAGCGCACCACGTTATTGCGAACGCGAGTTATCTATTCCAGAAGCGACGGCAATTTCCATTTATCCAGTGAATTTGGCATGTTTTCGAACTTTCACAGCTTTGCCACGCACTAGATTTCCAATTCGTAACTGGTAAATCGCATTTTTTGCCGAAAAGTGACTCTCGCCAAGTTTCATGGATAACGTATATGAGACGCGTGACCCTATTCTGCAAGCGACGAAAGGACTAGCGGGACGAGATAAAAATGCTAAGTATTCTTTGTAAATTGCGATCTCTCAATTAATGTTATATGTTTGCGGCGCGAAAAGTTGAGACTCCTCACGGGAAGAAAAGGTGTAATTGGATCGAACTTTAATCGGCGAACGAGAAGGGCAGCTTTGAAATTAACAATCGAACACGTCGCCACTCTTCGTTGACTTGTCACGAGTCTGACCATGTACGCGACGGGTGTAAAGTTTGGTCGGCTCTAGCCGAGCCTTTAAGAGCTGAACTCGTACGAGTAGTGGACGTTTGATAGAGCGCTTCATACTTGTAAAGCGATTCAATGTAACGAGCTTAGAGAATCGCAGGGCGGCGTTGCTCGATTAGACGAATCGGCGTCTACGAATACAGCTGTAGCTTCTGCAGTGTGCAGCGTGTGAATCGGCGAATAAGCACTTCTGTGGCCTACTTTAGCTGACAGTTTAATTGATTTAAGCCTATCCGATTGTAATGCCATTGAGCAACTATTAAAAATATTCGTTGAGCCGGCACATGGAATCGCAGAGAGAGAGAGAGAGAGAGAGAGAGAGAGAGAGAGATCGCGCGCGCACCAGACGGGAGACGAGGCGCACCGAGGCGTGCAACACTTGGAGCGCGCTCTCCGCGTGCCAGGGCTTGGCTCGTCGCGACGTCAGCCCGGAGCGCGCTTGTGCGGACGCGAGGATGTGTGTCCAGGCTGCGCGACCTTCTCCGCGGCGCCTCTGCACACACGCAGCTTTAGGAGGCGCGCGAGGCCGGGGGAGGAGGGCGCGCAGGGGACAGACGGCGCCGACGCGGAAAATCGTTGGCGCCGTCGACGCAGTCGGCTCGCGACTGGCGAGCGAGTCAGAGTGCGACCTCCGCGGCGGCCGCGGCTGCTCGAGCCATCGACGGAGAGCTGTAGGCCCGCGTTCCGCGTTCTCCGTGGCTGTCGGCCTGCGACCGGTCGAGCATGGCCTATCACCACCGCGATAGCCTAGGCAGTCAGCAGCGCTACGGCTACAGGGACCCGGAGGCCGAGGTGTCCGAGCAGATATCGCGTCACCATGATCTCGAGCGCGGACTCGAACGCATGCAGGAGGTGCACGACAGAGGCCCCACTCTCGCCCACGTCGTCATGGAGGAGTGCAGAGAAGCCAAAATCAGAAAGCAAGTAAGCGCGCGGTCAGCTCTAAGTCGATTACGCGACTTCGTTCCCAGTGATATTGCAGACATGCGCGTCGCTCGTGCCCTTCTGCTTGTCGCCGCGCGCCTCTTTCCTCGCCCTTGATCGCTTCCAGTTCCGATGCTCCCTGCGCATCCGATCTCGGCTCGCGCGCTCGCCGCTTTCCCGCCGCTTGCCGTTCGCGCGAATTCACCTCCAGCCTCGACGCTTCGTTCCTTCTCAAGGCACTTTCGGTGCGACTGCAGCCTGTCCGTACGTTTTTTTCAGCGCGATTCTTTTACGAGCGAACCTATTTTTACGGCCCGCCATACCTTGCATTCCGCGCGAATAGCAGTTGCATCAAAATAGAGCATTTTTAAAGCTTCGCCAACGCGAGTGTATTTTCTGTAAATACACTTCCACGAGGACGGTTCTAGACAGACGATAATTATTGCGGTCAAACTTTTCTTTTCGCATTTTCTTATACTAGAAACGTTAACGCGTACTTGCGGACCTATTGGTGCTTCGGTCGTGCAAAGAACGCGGAAAGCCTTTATTAGACAACTCAAAAGTCTTTCGATTCATTATTGCCACTAACAACTACTTTCGTGTTATATTGATGCTCAACGTGTGCTTATTCAACATTTTTTCAGAAAATCGCTTTACCTTATCTAGTAAAACAGTCTTTCTACAAATAATAGTCAACTTGTTCATAGTATTGCCTAGTAGACTGTGACGATAAAATCTCAAACCATAGATATCTAACTGTAAAAAGTTTTTCAAGAAATAAGAGTCTTGGCATGGGAAGTAGGTGTTTTAGGACCGCGTCCAAGAACAAAAGTAGTTATAGTCAATGTAAGTCAGGCATGCAGTTTAGTTTATGACCACAAATCCCCTCGTCTCGTATAAACTTTATGTCTACACTCGTCATCATCAGATCATCTTCGCATAAAGATATCGCACATAAAAATATAATGAAAGGGAAAATACTGCTTATCATTATGTTTTAAACAGTTTTCATCATTGTTAAAAGCATCGTACGAGTCAAGAAATTGAGATCGAATGCATTCAATGTTTTTCAACTAAGTTAGATTGCCAACATGATTTATTCTATACATTTTAACACGCTTCTTTCCTACTTGTTAAGAAATCGAAATAAATTGAGAAAATAAAACAAAATTATGTAACAAGCTTAAAGTGGTACCCGCGTTTTTACATAGTTGCGATTCATTCGAGTAGGGTGAACTGACCCGCAAAATAACAACTGTTAAGCCGTTGTTCCGAGTCATAATCTTCAAACCATTAAATTCTGTTAACGTTTTATAGTTCCAACCAAGTCTTCGCAATAATTTAAAGCTCCACATCAATATTTATGGAAAATTAAAAAATATTACTTACAGGAAATAGGAAAACTTTATTGCAACATTTATTTTATCGTGTACTTAATTTGAATAATCATTAGTTTACTCAAAAACATACGATCAATAACTGTTTATATCTAAATTATGACTAAACATTACCATAGTCTTCTGTTTAACGGTTTTATCAAGAAACATGTATTTTTAAAACAAAAACTTTTATATTTATTTTCCAACTGTCATTTTGGTTTGAATTAACCACTGAAGAACAATCTTATATTGTTATGTTTTTCTCGATAAACAGTTGTGCAGAACGTCCTCGTATTGATTATTAACCGTCATCTAAATATCTATTGTTTGTATATCTTTTATCAAACGTTTGCAGAGAGATCGCGACATAACTTTTTTATATTTACAATATTGAACATATTGACTTTGAAAATTCTAAGCATATATGAATATACGAAAATAAATTTCAGTTATAAAACCAAAAATAATACAAAAAGAAAGGGATAATATTTAAACATACGTTCGCGCATCCTCTGAATACACTGTTGCCTTTATTGTCTGTTTTATCACTTTGTTGCTCTATTCTTTATTAAACGAAACATCTGTCGTTGATGGTTTCTATTACCCTCTCGATCGTTGCAACTCACAAACTTTCGAAACACTCGCTTATTTATAAAATACAAAATATTCACTTAAAAAGTAAAAAGTAGAATCATTTAAGTACTTATTAATTTACATAAATGTTATTCTTTTTTTTGATAATGATGATGACAATTAAATTGCAATGTACGATAGTTCTTTGTGCCGTATGCTCGAAAAATACTTTTATTTTTCTTATAGATTGCCATGTAATGCACTGAAAAAATGATTGCATTTTTTATAAATCTTCCCGAGTCAAGGCAAATAAAATAAAACCAAGAGTTTTTATTAACGTTTCGGTGTATCCATATTATCCTCTTCAAGTTTTCTTTATTTTTTGGACAAAATAATAAAAAAAACAACTGATTTATGATTTCTTATCATAATAAATTGAGTGATAGGCAATACTTTAACAAATGATTTGATAAATATTCCTATTTTTTATGCTAATTATTTAGTTAGTTTAGTTTATTTATTTACAACTTATATGTTACATTTTGCTAATTATTTATAAATATATATATATAGCTACATAGTTTTACATAATTCATACTGAATAATTCACAAAACATTTTCTTTCAGAATAAACAAATTCTTATTAGTGTTGGAGTTACTATAGGCTTAATTGTTGCTGTCATATGGTTTGTAGTAACGAGATGAATGCTTAGGTAAGATAATTTATATAATTTCTATGTTATTTCTGAACAGTCGAAATTAAAATATAAATTTATATTGTCATTGGTGTATTTGTTATCCACAAACAATTACATAAAAGCAAAAGTGGTTACGTATTGACAGATACATAAGTTAAATTTCATCAACGAATTGAAGAATTGAACTTCACTGTACAATTGAAAAGTTGAAAAATTAAGTAAAAATTTCATTGTCTAAATTATAATATATATAAAGTGAATTCAACAAAAAGAAATACATTCTCATATTGAGGTTACGCTTTTAATCATTCGATTTATTCAATCTATCATTTAAAAATATTAGTTCCCTACGCAGATATTTGAAATTATGGAACCATTCTTAAACTCAAACTCTACAAATAATGAGCTTTCATTATTCTCATACTTGTAACGAAGCTGATTCACTATACCTCGTATAAATTAGTATATAGATTTCATAATGTACTTTAATTAATATCGATCAGTTCTTCTTTTTAGGAATGTTGAAAGAAGTGAGAATAAATATTTTACTTTTTCTTTTTAATTTAATGAAATTATTAATATTGTTATTAGTCTTTCCGTTGAGTTTCAGAAATTAAATTTTAAAAAACAAAGTATTTCAAAGAATATTTAAATACTGACTTTTTTTATTTCTATATCCGACGCTCTTCCAATTACTGAAAATTATACTATGAACAAAAGTAGATAATAACGATGAATACATTATAAAATAAATCAAGCGTAATACCTAAAAATACAAAAATTTTCATTATCCGTTTTTATGATTTCTGTGAGACTAGATTTATAATGATACCATAGTACTACGTTGTATTTTATATCCTAATAAAAATCACTCAAATAGATCACGATAAAAAAAATAAATTGGATATATGGACGATAGTTTTTAATATGCATACTGTCGTAGTCTTGATTAAATTTCTGTGTGAAATATGTATCTTAGATTACTTTCTTCATTATAACTTTGAATATTATAAAGTTGAGATTATGAGCGTTATACACTGCCGGTCACGTACTTTTATCCCTCCCCCCTCCCCCGTCTAGGCAAAATCAGTGAAATTTGCAGTTTTTTCTCTTTGGTATGAAATAACGTACAGAGAAGAGCAAGGACTTGGTTAAAGAGCTTTCAGAATATGTACTTCACGACTGCATAAAATTGTTTAATTTTTACAAGCAATTTTTTTGAATTGCAAATTGAAAACATTTTTTCTTATTTTTAAAATTATGTCGGACGTGGGATAAAAGTGATAAAAAAATTTGGCAAAGTGCATTTTATAACTCATTCCAAACCCTATCCGCATTATTTATTAAAAAAAATTTTCCATCAACTGTGACGCGCTTGCGAGCATTTTTTCCTTATATTGACAGTTTATTTTCAATATACTATATCTCCGTGAATTCCAATAATAGAAAAAAAATTTTTATAAGAGAAAATGTTTGTTTTTTCATGTAGAATGCTGTCAAATTTTTACAAATTTTTTTTTGAAAGATTTTTTTAACTTTTTTCCTCCCACCCACCAAACTACAAATTTGACTGATTTTGCCCTCCCCTCACCTCCGGGGGTACCGGCAGTGTACTTTTGAAGCAAGATTCAAAACTCTTTCATAATCATTTGACATATCTCAAGGTTTTTTAGATAATATACCAATATCGGTTCTATCAAAAATCATATTTATTCTTAACTTATTATAAAAATAATTCTTTTATTAATATTAGAAATTCTTGTTTTTGCAGATCCTGAGTTATTCATATTGCAAGAGCTGCTGAACCAAAAAATAATGAAATGCTGTGCCATTATAAAATCTTAATCTTTATTTTGGAACTTTTCCATCTCTCTCCTAAAATTCAAAATTAATTAGTACTCACAATTCGTATTAAAATAATTATTTTCTAAGGATTATCTTTACTACAAAACCCCTCTTAATAATTTTATTTACAATTTATTACAATATATACCAAATATCTGTATGTATTCTTATAAAAAATATTATTAGTATTTCTTTAGCATCAATAAGATTTGTTATGTTTTACATCTGAAACACAATGTACTTATATTTTACGATAATAAGTGTGCATAAACCAATATTTTCTCCAACATTCTCTTATCATTAAATTTTTTATATTTCGAGTTCAAAAATAATTCGAATACTTTCAATGTTTTATAAGGCTGATAACATCCAATAGATCTTTTGTAACAATAGCGGTTTAGAAAAAAATGTATGAACTTTGTTTAAGTGTATTATTCAATAGTATAAATACCGAAAACTGTAGATCTAATTTTCTGACTCATAGTATGTATTCGAACTATGCTAGCCTTTATAAGAGGTACAATAAAAAGAACCAGACTTTATGAGCCTTGAAATATGACCAATCTTATTAATTTTACTTGTAATTTATTGCAATATATACCAAATATTAAATTAATATTTATTTGTATGAAATATAAATTGTTATCAGTATATACCAGTGCATCAATGTTCAATTTCTTTAAATCATTGCAGTAACGATATAATAGTTTTTATAGATGTGAATATTGGTAGAAATAACAAGGTAGAATGTATTGAAATATTTTTATACGTAGATACTATTATATTTGCATGAAAAGACCACTGCTGATTAAGCAACGCAAAAACTAACTGCCTTTACTATGTATGTATCAACTATGCTTGTACTAGTTATTTCATATATTATCGTTTTGGCTTTTATAATACAAAATAGTTATTTATAAGCAGCGATAATTTAGTATTTGTTAAGGGTAGACATAACTTGTTTATTATGATAATTTCTAATTTATTTTTAAATTGTAAGAACAACGATGTGTAAGTACTGCACAGCCAAATAAAGTTTTACATCCAAATCTAAATTCTAAAAATAAATGAAATTTGCCAATTTCTTTGTCCAAAGTATCTTTTTGTTTAAAAGTTGAAATCTTGAGAAGAAAGTGACTGGAAAAATTGTAATTAGAATTCACAGCTTGACGAGTGCGGTCAAAAGCTTCATAATACCAGACAAAAGCATGAAAAAAGAAGGTTTATAATTAACCGTGGAAATATCTGTCTGAAAAAAAAAAGAAAAAGAAAATTAAAACGGCTGGTACGCTGTTTAAAAAAGTTTTTTCCTCCTATATAGAGTAATGATTTCATATAAAATCGTAATACTTCTACTTTTAAGATGACTATTCAAGAAAAAACTCAATTATAGGAATTTTAGTACACCAGAATTATTTGACAGGGCGTTATATAAAAGCAAAATACCGGAGATAGCAGAAGGTAGCATACTAAGATTTTCTTTAGGGTTTCATATCACGTAAGTTTACTTTACAGTCTTGCACGTGGTGCTTTAAAAGCACACAGTTGCGGTATATATTACTGCAAGTAAGATATAGCTGCCTGATGCAGATCGAGCAAGGAAAAGGAAATTTATTCGTTTGTATTGGCAATTCCAACATTCTTTTTTCGTGAGCAAGAGTATAAGACTGTCGAGCAATCCTCGGAAGGCGAAGCAGCCACCGAGGTCACGTTTTCCTCCAATCGCATGCACGATATCTATATCTATATCTCATGCTACAGACGCCAAAGTGGGCTGTGCCGGTCATTGAGTAGCACTGGTGACCCTTATTTCGTCAAATATATTTTCGCCTGGTTTTTCAATATAACTTGTTGTTTCGTTTCGATCGTTAGTACTTTGGAAGAACTATGTAAGTCAAGTGCTATATACAAATATCGACTTTTAGTTCTCTTGTCAAGTGTGTGCACGTATGTATTTAAATATATTCAATTTTCGTTACTAATACTAGTATTGGATACAAACTATCCAATTTAACAATGGGCATTTTTCAAAATAAATTTTTATTACATGATAATTTTACACAGGTATTTGTATAATAGAACTATTTTTGTAAAGCTCCTCCGAGACATCTTTCAATCATATAAATGATCGATCATTATTCATAACGTCGTTCAATGCACTTTGGAGATACATGATTCATCCACTTTCATCTTTACATGCACGGATTGAAAACTGCTGAAAGCAATCTTTGAACTCTAATCCTTAGAGCACACTTTCCGAGCACATATGAGCAATGACTGCTGCGGATACGCGGGAAATGAAAAAGACAACAGCGATCTGCGTTATTGAGTAACAGCGAGAGCGACGGGGAAAGTAAGAAAGCGCAAATAAAAAGACAAGATAAGGAAAAGCGGAAGATCTATAAAAAGTCCAGTGCTGTCGAAGACAGCTGGGACCGATATATTGGCAGTAGAACTTTCAGAGGCTATCGAGCCTTTGTCTACTCCGGCGTTTATAGACTGATTTTGAACGTATTCAGCAGATTGAATATTGACATACGTATTTTTTCGCGTATGAATATTTGTGCTTGATGTCTTCATTGCCTTATATATGTATAATCCAAATATCCCTTTCAAGTTTGAGCAGAATGTAAAATTGACTTTCAGATGTTTAAGTATACTTTGTTATAACGTGGTAAAATTGTTAAGTTTCATCTTTTGTATTTTTTGAAATATATTTTTCGTTAGGTTCACTTCTTTTGATCGCTACAGCTTTTAGGGAAAGAAATAGTGTCAAACAATCAATTTTGACGAATAAGACACCGATATACTTTGATTTTTTGATATTTTCTCAGCAAAAATTTTTTTAGATACTTAGCTCTCCCAAGTCTAACTGCAGTATCATCATATTAAATATCAAATTTCATTTTCAAGAACTTTTTGAACCAGTACCTACGCGAGTCTCAACTCTTGCGCTAAAATCGTATTCTGATTCTATTAATTGAACTTTAAATAATAAAATGAACAGATAAAATTTGACAAAAGATAGCTCATTATGCTTTCCTTAGTGCTCGAGCTAGTCAGCTCGTTTCTACGTCGGTCTAATAAAACTTTGAGAAAAGCACTTGTATCAATGATAACTTCCATACCCACTGGTTCCAAAGCGATCGCGCGAAGAAGGTAAAATAGAGATCTGTCGTAAAACTTCATATGATTACTTGGCGCATCGATCAGAAAATCGAATAATGGAAATAGCTGTAAGCAATACGTCTCGCGAAAGAAAACTAGGACGTCAAATTTTCAAAATTAGGCGACATTGTTTGACGGACAGGAAATTTTACAGCGATCAATGAAATCAGTTGGAATTGACAACATAAAACTGTACTGGTACAGTGAGATTGCGTGACGATTCGCGATGGAATTTCCTCGTGCTGATGTTGTTGACATGACATCATAGCGGTCGTCGGCCGAAGTGCAGGTGGCGGCATCAACAGTCGGAGTCACTCGGTTACTTAGTCTCCAGTCGGTCGACTCGCCTATAACAGATACAAAATGTTATGCTCTAATTTGATAAAATCTGTTATGACGAAACTGTTGTACTAAAATTTGATAAAAATGGTTCATCACGATGGATCATGCCGATACTAGCATAGTATTTTTTTATTCAACGGAAAATAGAAAATACTATTGGTTGCATTGCTTTAGTTATATTCGTTATTGTTGGAGGCATTATTTTAGCGACACGTAGTAGGAACAGTCGTCACTTTTGAAGCTGCAAATATTCCATGTACGACATTGAATTTTCATAATTCTATGTAAGATAACAGATATAAGATGAGTTATAATATAGTACAGAGATTGGGAAGGTGGAAGCATTAAAAAAACTTGATATTTTATTTTTGTAATTTTGTATGACTCGATTATTTATTAAACGCACGTTTTCATAAAAAAAACCCCGTTATTGAACTTTCTTTTTTTTTATCTGTTTCGTAATTGTCTTTTGAAACAAATACATAATTGGAATAATACAAATGCTGAAATTTTTATTTGATAAGTTAATACAAGATAAACCTAGCAAATAGTTGAGATCTTCATTTAACAAATTCTCCTACAATTTAACGATTTAAAATAATAAATATTGAATAATATCAATATACTGTATGTTGTGTGATAGTTTTACATGTATATTAAGTAAGTGTAATTGTTGATTTTCTGTTACTATAATCCCACTCTATTCTCGAAGAAAGTTTTTAACACGTAGTCAAGGTAATCAATAATTTCATTAATTTAGTGATTATAAAAAAATTTCCAATTCAAATGAGCTGGATCATCGATCGGATCTTATTTATACCGATTGGTCACGTTTTTGATAACGTAAAATTAATTATTCTCGCATAGTGTACCCGAAATTCAATGTTGCGCCATATTTCCGTGAGCAAAGGCCCTTATCTCACCCTAAAAACGGAATTGCCAAGGTGCAATCCATTCCCTCACGTTGTCGAAGTATCAAGTGTCGAATAAGAGGCCTTATTGCAATGTATCATGCGCGCTTGAACGCTGTGCATTGCATTGTGAACCAATTTTGTTCGTCACAAAACTAATATATTAACATTGATTAGTTATTCCATTAATATTGCGTTTATGATGAACAGATCTATGAATAATACACTGCGCAGCATCCAAATGCATATGACCAATACCACAATAAGATCTCAGGTGAACCTGAGTAGTTTAAAATATTTGAATCAAAATTTCATTGAATACTTACTATACACACATACACTCACACACACTATATAATACTATATATATATAGTATATCATTCATTTTAGGAGTATTTCTATAACAAATAGAGATGATTTTATATTTACTCATGCATGGTAATTTATCACTGGTTTTTGTAATGGTCATCGCACAATGCACTGTCCAAAGAACTTCATTACAATAAGGCTCCTTTGAAATTTATTGTATGTATTTTGAAAAATGTATTATATTGGCTTAATTATATATAGTTTATTATATCTTAAAAAATAGAATTTCATAATTATAAAATTTATTATGTACAAATTAGTAAAAGTTATATAAGGTTCATTTATAGTTCACTTATAAAATATAGCAATCGAAGTACTAAAAATATTGCACAATTTTCCGATACACGTTCCCAATTTACGCACAATTTATCAACAAGTTTTCATTGATAACAACAACAAAATATGATGCAACATACTTTGAGGTTCTCAATTTGTTCTAAATGAAAAGCAAATAAATAAGATCAATCGAGGATTATTGCAATAATAAAATCATGTCGTTAATTAATAAAATATTGAAAGTAAACGAATGTTATAGATGTGCATATTCGGAAGGGAACGATGAGAACGTTAGTGAAAGTAAAACCATTGACGTCCCATCGATAGTATTAGTACGAAGCCGAACGGAGACTAAGTTATGCAGAAAATGCAATGCTTACACAATACACAGTTCGTCACTGGAGCCTTATTGTGGTGTTGGTCATGCGCACTTGGACGTTGCGCAGTATATTATGCGTCGATCATGTCCGTCACAAAACTAATTAACGTTGATTAGTTACTTCATTGACAATATTGACATTCTCACCCCCCTTACTTCAGCCTACAAAGTGTAGTGGACAGTGAAAAAAATACCATTAGAAATATCTCTAATTGAACCCTTCAAACATGATCATTACTTCAATTGAACCTTTTTTGTTGTTCCAACAAAAATTAAAAACTATGTTCATTTTTTGGTTTCTTGTAATTATGATATTTTTAACAATACTTAATATTTTTGCAAAGAAACAAGATAAAAAAAATTGAATCCTTGCTCATTTTAATTGAACCCCTCTTACTTTTTTAAATTATTAATATATATGTCAGAAACAACAATCTAATTTTATTGTATGTTCTTACTAAAAAGATCAGTGAACGTGCATGCGTTTTAGTAAGAACATACAATAAAATGAGATTGTTGTTTCTGACATATATATTAATAATTTTAAAAAAATAAGAGTGGTTCGATTAAAATGACCAAGGGTTCAATTTTTTTGTCTTATTTCTTTGATAAAATATTAAGTATATCTAAAAATATCACAGTTGCAAAAAACCAAAAAAATGGACATAGTTTTTAATTTTGTTTGGGACAACTAAAAGGGTTCCATTAAAATAATGATCATTTATTGAGGGTTTAATTAGAGATATTTCGAATGGTATTTTTTTTTTCACTGCCCACTACACTTTGTAGGCTGGAAGAAGGGAGGTAACATTCTCCTTGTGACAGGTAAATCTGCGTACAATATATATTATATTATACTGTGCAGTATTGAAGTGCGCATGACCAACACCACAATAAGGTTCCTGGGGAATTCGGAAGAGCGGGGGAAGTTAAGTCCTATTGGTGGACTTGGATGTTACAAAGCAGTCTCAGTCGACCGCTTGCCAGAGAATGTCGCATAAAGAGCATTCATTACCGACTTATGAGGAAGCTACAGGAAAGGTTCAGCCGTTAGTGCCAGCCTTGGCTCCGATACACCTATGCTCTGCACTAAGCGAACGAGCGGTCGGCAATGACGATCTTGTGCCAGTTCATTCATCACCATCTCAAACAACGACACATTTTCAAAACCGAAAACTCGCAAAACATCGATTATCGTATAACGAAAACGAGAATCTCTCAGTAAATAAAGTTTTCAACAAGTACAAAAAAATGTTAATGTGAACTAGTCAGTTTCACGTAAAAACAAAAATCAACCAATATGGTAGTGAGCCTGAAACTATCTGATTAGAAATCCTTACGTGGCATCCCACGTGGAAAACTACACGGGGTTCCACGTGGGAATTTGAAAGAATTTCCTACATGAGATTTTCAAAAACATTGATAATTAATAGTATATTGGAAACAACAATAACGATGCAAAGGAATTAAAGATTTTATCGTATATGATTAATAACTATTTTTATTAGTTATTATAACTAATAAATAATTGTTATAATAATTAAAAAAAAGTTTTATATATCAAATGTATAAAGGTAAAATTTATAATATTAATGGAAAAAGCATTGTATACACATTTTATTGATGAGTATAATTTGTATCATTTTAAATAATGATACTTTAATGGGATAGTTTAATTGATATTAATATGAAATTAACACCAGATTAAAAGGAAATCAATGCATTTTATTTGCATGATTTGTTTCTAATAAATAATTGTTATAATAACTAAAAAAAGTTTTAGTTTTATGTAACCAATATAGAAAGGTAAAATTTAGTATATTAATGGTAAAAAGCAAAGTATACACATTTTATTGATGAATATATATTGTATCATTTTATTCCAAACATAAAATGTTTGGATTCGTTAAACTCGCTTCGCTTGGGCGTAAACACCACACGAGACAAGAATCTACTTTCCCGCACTTATATCCTAATGTACTATTACTTATTTTGTGTGTGTGTGTGTGTGTGGTGTGCGTGTGTGTTATATATAACAGTCTATATAAATTGAATAATAAATCTGATTATATCATACGGAAACTGAATTATACGTATAAGTAACGAATATCTAGACTGAATATGATTCAGCTAGCTTCCAGTAGGTAGAATCCACTTGCCAGTTGCAACTGCACGCATACTATGACTACGCATACCCCGATAGTGCAGACAATGGCGAGAGAATGTAAACACGCAAATAGTGTGACGTAGTTGTATTGTTATGTGCAATGTTTGTAAGACTTTTTTGTTTCAAATAAAATGATACAATATATATTTATCAATAAAATGTGTATACTCTGCTTTTTACCATAAATTGTATCTTTATGCAAAAATATGTTTTAATTATCATAACGATTATTTATTAGAAATAAATAACAAAATTTATTGATTCCCTTTGAATTTGGCTTTAATTTCATAATAATGTTAATTAAACTATATCATTAAAGTATCGTTATTTAAAATTGTTTTCAAACGTTTTCAATAAAATCTTTAATTCTGTTGCATCGTTATTGTTGTTTTCAATATATTATTAACTATAAATGTTTTTGAAAAGCCCACGTGGGATCCCAGCAGAAATACCTATGTGAGAATGAGTGTTTGTCGGTGCCTGGATTACTCATTGTAACTTTACTGGCATGTAGTCAAAGTAAAATAAGTCTTTATCGCTAATCTTTCCAGTGTAATTTAAAGTTAATATCAATTCAACACATATCATACATGGTAATAACGTGATGAGAATGCAATTATTGTATTGTTTTATTTAGTTGATGCCTATTATTTTTATTAACGCTAAACTTTGTGACCGATACTTTTCAAGTCATATCAATTTATATAAATAATAATCAGTTTATAAAAAATGTAATCCCTGCAAACAACAGATAATATTTGCTCCTTAAAATGTTCAATTAAAAATCAAAGGCATTTCATTCTAACATTCATACGAGAATTTCAATTTGTATCTAGTTATTCAAATTTTTGTTTATTGGTATTGTTATACTAACTGTGATATTTGTTTGCAAATATAGTATTCTCCATCGTCTTATCCGCCAACGAGAACTAGAAAAAATTTGGACGTTGAGACAAGCCTAGGACGAGGCCTATAACAACAGACTCAGCGTGTAGATCCTGTTGTACGGTAGATGGTCCAGACAGATTTGACAGAAAGTGAAAGGGCAAGAAGAAAAAAAGAAGCAAGTCTACATCCATAGAAGTAATTTTGCGTTGCAAAATTATTTTTCGAAAAATCAAGGGCTACTTTATATACCATATTGAAAAAAGAAACTATTTGAAGTACTTCTGTATCGCCAAATTTGAATAAAGTAGATACACAAAATGCTTCGACTAAATTCGATATCATTATAACTAAAATCAGTAAATACAAATGCAGTATTCGTCAACTATAGTGGATTTCAAGGCATTTCATTCTAACATGTAGTGAAGGAATGAAGACTGACTTAATTAAATATTTTCAAGATTGTAAAATCGATGAGACCATCATTTTATACGCAGAATACTAAGTGCACATCAAGTTAACTAATTTTACTTGATAAGAATTTAGTGTGACATGATTTATTCAAATAATTTTTAATAGTAATAGTAATGATCTCATTGTTCAACTTAAGTATAATAATCTGTTAGATTTATATAATTATTTGTGATACAACTTTGTAAAACAAACTAATGTTTAATCGCAATCAAGAAAAGTATTTTACGACACAGTATATCTTTTTTCTCTGATCGATCCAAACACGTTCAATCTCTCTCCAATTTCTTCAACCATATATATGTGTTTATGTATATCTCTGTGTGAGTACAGGGTGCACAAACACTTGTCTGCTCGTTGTAAGTTTACCGCCACCACTGGGTCTCGACTGAGGTTAATGAGTTGCAGGCGCCGGCTCCGACTATACTGACTTTTATAGACATAATTACAACTTTTACTTAGAATGAATTGGGAAATTACAATTCAATAATTAACAATCAATTTGGCATTTGTTCGCATGACATTTTTTACATAACATTATATAATAAAATAATTGTCAAAAGATACTCTTAAAATTAGTTTTTAAATTCTTCGAAATAACTGCTTTACAAGAATTATTTTAAATTCTTGTAAATGTAGAATGGCACGTACTTTATAAATTTTCATTTACAATGTTAATTGGACTGCATAATTCATTAGGTTTTAATTGTTGTTTTGCAGTGGACGGAGAATGCTGAAATGGCGGTACGCCTATGCTATTATTGTATTTCCATTTAACTCAACACTTTTCTCCTGTCGTAATAACATTTTCCACGTATAAATTAATTTTGATTGAAGGCTGCTGCAAAATTTTAAAGAGCTTCTCACATAAGTACTTTCTTTCGAAAGTTGTTCAAAATAACTCTGATCTCGAACGATCTAATTTATAAGCAGTCATAATTTTCACTCCGTTGCATAATATTTTTAGCACGAAACAACGTTGTATATGTTTTTTTCGTACTTATAATTGAGTAATCATGCTGATTGAAATATTGTAAAAAGCAAATAATTTATACTGTAACTGCACGATTCGAAAAGTTTTTTAGCATTGATTATTTTTCTGAGAAACTAGATATTATTAATAGATAGAATATGCTAAATGTAGAGTGGAATTCATAAACAGATAAATTCAAATACTCAATTTATACTACCAACGAAAAATATTTCCGAAATTGTAATCCGTTACCCTAACCCGCGAATAGTCATTTGGTCTGCTTTTGATTATTTTCGTTCGATGGAAATTTATTACGTGTAAAAATATTTGGATTTCAAGATACAAGGAAGAATTTTTAGATAAATAAAAATTACGTTATCCTCAATTACTTGCCGACAGCTTGAGTTTGATTAATCAGTGTCGAAAATATTTTTCAGTGCAGTGTTCGATGGTATATATTTTGCGCCCTTTGCAGTCCACATAAGTCTACTGTACGGAGCATAGAGTGTTTTGTGGATGAAGGTCAGCTACGAAACCGAATGCGTCTCCTCTGTCCAGACCTGACTTCATGGTCCATAAAGAACGTACTGCTCAGAGACTCTCGAATCATCCTCTCGCAAATAGGCGGGGGATTTGACGTCGCGTCCTATAAAGTTGACGCATGACCACCACTCTGACGAGACGCTGGATCCTGGTCTAACGGTGAATGTTCACAGAACATACGCTAAGTGCTAAAATGAGTACTCTTTCAAAATATTCTGTCTTCTGGATTCACTCTGTTATTTGTTCACAAATAACAAAGTGGACATCTGTAGCGGCGCATTTGTACAGCGCAACGAAAACGTAACTGACTTTGCATACCAGAGGCTACAATCCTTACGAGAAATGTAAGCAACTCGTGAGTCTTACATGGGTAAGAAATAAGCCAATAACCCAATAAGTTTATTTGTTCACTATCATCTTATTTATAATGTAATAAATGAGTTGATAGTGAATTTGAGTCACTGATGGTAACTTCGGAATGCATCACCGTTAAGTAACGTCGTCATTTATAGCAACATTTGTGGAACGTTTGAAAAATTTTGTAACCAAGTTACGAATAATGCTGTTAAATAACAATGTACTGTCCACTACCGATGTAAGTCATAGATAATCTAAACTAAATACATAATTCTGTAAAAGACTTGAAAGCTTAATAATCATAAAAAACTTATTTCAATGATTTATAATTCAAGTCTCATGTGATTTATTACTTTATTGTATATAAAAGAAGTAGTATTAGACTTATACTAATTTAGTTGTGTGTGTGTGTGTGCACGCGCGCGCGTGAACGAGTGCGTGCGGATGTTAGGACACTATGTTAGATCAGTCAGGCAATGCGGTAGAAAAGTAGAGTGAAATATTGCCTGCCCCGAAGAAACCCTCGTGTTTTGCACTGTGCTACTTTTCTTAGCGTGATTTCAAAATCTGTTAACGATCAAGGGGGTAAACTCGATGAAAATCAACGTGCAACGTGCATTTTGTAACTCTTGTGTTAGGGACGAGTGATGAGTTCCTTCTTCGAAGGTACTTCTCTATTCATCCCATCCGCTGTGCCTTTTTCCTTGCCGATGCGCTATTGCAGTCGTAGGCGAAGCTTGCAGGTCCTATGACAAGCGTTACGGATTGCTTTTCCCGCTCTCCCGTTTTCTTCAGCTTCGAGTAGCCATTGGAGCTCGGAAGAGGTGTTGACTATAGTTAAAGCTCCCATTAGCCGATTGACAAAGAGGGTGTGGTCGCTTACGACTCGCTGACCGCAACGCTCGACTCGTGTAACGTGGTACCCTGACGTCACTCGTTCGTACACACACACGTACACATACGCACGCGCGCGTACACAAACACACAAGTAATTCTCAGCCGATTCATACTTCCTCGTACTCAAGTTACACGGTTACTCTCAAATTAAAGCGCACGCGATTCGATTCAGACGAGCCATGCACCTTCGACGTAAAAAGACCAAAGCGTTAACAAAAAGGAAGAGTTTTCACAATTGTTGGCCACACGTAGAAGTCGGCGCGCCGCTATTTTTGGGCAGATGGATTTCAGGCCTATTCAGACAGATAGGAAACAGATAACCCGACAGCGTCGGCTTACGCGTAGCCATAGGTGCGTCTGTTTACCAGATGCGCTGTATGTCGTTTTCCCGCAGCTTATCGCTTGCCATCCGCAACGTCGTGAGACCTACTCAAGGATGCTCTCTTGCTCAGTGATTGTCAAAGAGTAATGCGCGCTACGAAAAAATTGTTTCGTTAGTTCAACTTGCTTGCAAGTGAAAAGTTATAGATTAAATTATAAAGTTACGGATTAAATCGAAAAAATTTGGAAATACTCTTTGTAGCGTCAATTTTATAATAGTTTTTTTCCGGAAATTCATATTGTTTGTTTGTGCAAAATAAATTATAATCTTGAAAGCTATAAAATGAATAATTTAAATTGTTAAAAGTCCGATACAAATTTTCGAAAATTAAATTTCTTTTAGAATTGCATTATTTATCAATGTCCCAAGAATGCGTATATCAAATTTGAAGTGTTAATATTGATTTTACAAACTGATAGAAACGATTAAGAGGAACGGTGCTAAGCTAAATTTGTTAATAACTGTTGTAAAAGCACCCTTACCTATTTCATAATGTATCCATCATTTCAGAACTACATAAATTTAATCTTATTAAAGTTTTACGATTTTTTAAAAAAGAGTTATGTTGTTTTCCTAAATAAAAATCGAAAGATCGGTTCCTTTTGTAGAAATACACAGGGGACGATATTATGACATTTCCTAACTGTAATGAACACAGAACGCAAAACTTTGATAGTATAAAGTTCATTTAGTTCTAAAGCGATTCATGTATTAAAAATAATGGGTACCGTGCTTACAAAAGATATTAACAAACACTTTCGCAAATTTTTTTGCTTTAATCGATCTATAAATTTGAATATATTTGAGCGAGTTGAAATGATGAAATTTTTTTCTTTGCGCGAAGCTCCATTTGATTACCGCTGAGCAAAAGAAAGTATTTAAAAACCGAACGTGTAGGTACAGTAAAGTTTCAGCAGTATTCTACTTTTAACCTTGACAACTCCATATGAAAAAGGCATTAAAATAAGCCGCGATAGTGGAACCTACGTCAGCGCTGGTTGTACCGTACCGACTATAACTACACACGGCGTTCGTCTGTTACGAACAGTGCGTCACTACTGCCGCCGAAGAATGTCGATGAACAGCGCAAACGCCTCGCCTAGGCGTAAAAACTTTGTAGGACGACAAAACTCGTTACCTACATACGAACAAGCTACGGAAAAAGTTTTGCAAGAGACATTTATACAAACATTAGCTGCTGTTCCTTCCTTGGATTCTGATACACAGGCTCAACGTTCTAACAATAATAGAACAATTAATAATACATCTTTCAATGGAACGACAACAACTCAGGTATTTTTTATACATGTTATTATAGAATAATTGTCAAGCCATATTGTTCTATAAGAATTCAAGAGCATTACTAGAATTTGGCACAACGAAGCTAATTGAATTCTGAATCGATTTCTTTGTTCAAATGATAGATCGTTAAAATTGAATTAGAAATAGACAAAATATAGTTCTCAATGTATTTTTCGATAAGAAGCAAATTTTTCCATTTGATTTTTTAAAAGTAACGTAGAAACAAATTTAAGAACATTACTAATTTTTGTAGCACAAAGCTAATTGAATTTGGAATCAAAATTATAGTTAAAGTTTATTAACAATTATTTTTAAAGTTATTAACTAAAATATTGCTATAAAGTAAATAGCTTCTATAATTTTTTCTAATGAATATTAAGACTTATAAATTGATAAAAGTACTCTCGAAACCTTAGCGAACAATATAATATAAATAAATTTTTGATTTTCGAAAATTTCTAGCAGACTTTTCTCTGAACTTATACTGTTTTCTGAACAAACAAAAGTAGATATCGAATTCAGACAAAGACTATAAGAAACTAAACACTATGAGGAGTACCTCCAAATGTTTTCGCTTTTATCCATCAATAACTTTTATTACGAGCGAGCAGAAGCCAAAATGTATTATTTTAATTGCACGGCTATCCGAAGTTGAGCACCTCGTCGTAGAACCACCTTAACTAAGATTATATCTTAACCTTGAAAACACTAAGTGTTACTGAAATATATGAAGCTATCAAGCCAAGCGTGTAATTCTTGATTCAAACCGACTCTCTTAAACAAAAACATTTTATCCAATGCAAAACAAATTTCCATTATATAACAATATGTTGTACATTTTTCTAATTGTTTATTTTATTTTTTATGTACCGTTCGCTTGACGGATAGATGCAACTGCAAGTTACACAATCACATAGCCTCGCGCATGGCCTTGCCCTTATTACGAACGCTGTAACTACTGAATACGTTTCTGAGCAGATTGATTGATATTTAGATTAATTCTAGTATATTTTTCTATTTTTGTAAATTTAGTTTTGTTTTGATTCGCGAATGTCCATATGTAACGATCATGTTATATGCATTATTACAGACGTACAGTCTAATTAAATTATTTCTTCATTCTAGAATATTGTAAGCCTTTATTGTAATTGAAAATAAATATAAATAATTTAATGTTTTTTTATCGATTCAAGATTTCATTAATCGTTGCTGCAAAATTTTATGGGAAGTAAAATATTTTGAAGATTTCAAGTTTTAATTAATTATCGACGTAATTTTTAAGGACGGTCATGTTATTATTAATGATATACGTCTTCATTTACAAATAAATAAATTATTTTTAAATGGATACTTGTGAAACACAAAAAAATTAATATTTTTACTTTGTATTGTTAAAAGTTTTCGTCAAGAAATCAAGAATTGGGTCGACGTATGCCAGAGCCTGCAATGGTACACTATCGAAATTATCGTGTATGGAATATGGGTCAGCCTGCTTCAACAAATTATACAAATCTCACACCAGTTGAGAAAGAAGTAAGAACATATATCTTATTGAAAATGAACGATAATCAATAATATTTAATTAGATCTGCATATTTTGCAATATCTTTTTCATAACATAAGTAAATAATTTGTGATGATTTTATGAAATAAATATCTATGTTTATTTTCAGAGTATGCTGGGTTTTCACATCGTAGGATTCTTAATTATCATCATGATCGTATTATTGTTAATTGTATTTATCACAAAAGTAAAGAAGTTGGCGATGTTTAATTAAAGTACATCGTAGTCCAGATAATAAAATAAGTACGTAGGAAATTGAGCAAATAATTCTTGCGTGACACTAATAATGAGTCACGTTAAGAGTGACGTACAGTTTTCCGATAAATTATGTCTCGTTTTACAAAGGTGGCTTGACATTTTTTAATTTCGCTGAATATGTGTACAAATCTTCGTAAACCACACCCAAGACGAAATCTTAAAAGCAGATTCTGAGACGAAGTTTGCTTTCGACTGATTTTCATGTTTTCACTATGTATGCACCTGAATTGGCAGCTGTATTAGTACCTACTCATTTCAGATAGTAAAATGACTTTTAAAATGTTAAACATTCACTTATGGTTGAAACAAGAAACGAAACGATCGCTCGCTCGCGATCAGTCATTCTTGAATTAGGCAACCGTAAACAAACACTCCGTCCGTAATCTATTGAATGATCTCGGCACGCACCAACATTTTTTTTCTAAATAAAATTTATCAGCGTAAATGCTAATATGCTGCCAAATTCGATTCTACTAGTGTTGACGACGAATAAGATATCGTCTAGTGACAAAAATGAGATTTATATTTATTTTTGCTGCACGATGAAAAATAAGATTGCCATCGATAAATACTTTTTATAGTTTGGTAAATTGGAAGAAACGTTCTTTTCAAAGTACAACTTTGCAAAACTATAAGATTGCTTGATACCTCCAGTATTATTTATAATTACTTTCATATTTTATTATATATAATTACTATATATATATATATAGTATGTTAATAACAATTGTAGACTACGTATTCAATTGTTATTAATTATTTTAACTTCTGTTGTAATACTAAAAGTCTATTAACTTATATTAATTAATGTGTAATCTAAGAGAGAAATTTGTAAGATGGGATTAGTAAAAACGTTCATTCATTTCCTGTTATGATATCAATACTATAAATGTTAGAAAAATTAGTGTTCTACATTTTTTGTTTTTCTTTTGCGTGTTCATTTAAAATTTTAACTCAGAGATTACAACTTGAATGAACAATGAAATGAAAAAAAGTGTCTATCGAATTCTTTTTTTATCCACAGTAATAACTCATTATCATATATCACCAGGCCAGACTAAAGAAATTTATTCCTCTGCTGGGTTACACCATACTTATTGTGTAAGTTATTGTAAAATTTTGCTTAGACAGATTATACAATACTCTGGTTAATAAATAAATATATACTATGTATGCGCGTATCTCGATCCTATGTAAATATTCATAAAATGCACCTTTTTGTATAATAAATAAAAATTTTATTCGACAACTCGAGTATACATAGTCCTAAATCTATATGGTTTAAAATTAAATGAATAGAACTTCTAAGGTGAACAATACGAATACTATAATAAAGAAATTTTGAAGGTAATGTCAACGCGACGTTGTTGCCGCCTACAAAACAAGTCAGTATATGGTCAGTACTCTCGTCAAAGAATGCCATGCAGTTTTTTCCAAAACGTGATGTTTTCTTAAGTGGAGAAAACTCTTCGCAAACGTACGATGAAGCTATGGAAAAAATTTGATGAAAAAAAGCCTAGGATCGTAGTTTCCAACATTCCGTTATCGACTGTTCGACGAGGTGAGCTTGAGTTTGTGGATCCATTTAATGGTTCCATTATAATGTGATACTAACAATTACGAACGAACAAATTGTTATTGTTCGGCTTAGATTACACAAGTATTTTTAATTTGAATAAAAGGTACCAACATAAATTATTCATTATCATCGAGTACGATTCAGCACGTGTTGTGCTACGGTGTTGTAATTGTAACCTTGATATTTTAATAAGCACGCGTTTACGAGTACTTCATAATTTTTTTGGAGCTCCGTGAGCGAAATATTCTTTGTGCTTGCTAGAGTATACGAGAAAAAACACAGTTCAATACATTTTGGGTTCAAATTTACTACTTGCGAGGATCATAATAATGGGCTCTTTCGCATTACTATTCAAACGTGCTATTTCAAATTAATGTAAGGGATTCTCATTGGTTTCTATATTAGTTTTTTTGCAAATTAAGAATCATTTATTCAAATTTCATGTATTTCCTCCAAGAACAATTGTGTGACAGTGAGATTTTGTTCAACCTACAAATTTACTTTAACACGTGATATTGATACAAGAATTATTTTAATTGTTTTTAGTCTGCATATAAAGATTAAGACGTAAAACAAGGCATTACAGACATAAGTATGCTTAGATTCTAAGCCAAAAAAAGATATCTAATGGGCTTTGCATACATTATTGCCCGCTACTTTTGTTTACTTTTAAATTGTTAAACCTGATACGTTTCAAAATATACATTGAATAACAATTTTTCAATCATATTCCTTTTTAGGCTGTTTAATAAAGAATAATGAACTTTATATTTTCAATAATACAATAAATATACATATTTTATTAGTTGCAACAAGTAATGAACATCTTTAGTTTTGCCTTATAATACAATCCTCCTTATAATGTCTCTAATGTTTGTAACGATAAAGGCATCGACATAAAAGAATAACTATAGAACTAAACTAAAGAAAAGCTGTATCATTGATCGAAAAGTAATTTATCAAAAGATTTGAAAGATTTGTAACGGTAAAGTCAACCTTTTGGATTTGTAGAAATTCATTCGTGGCAGAACAAAATATTCAGTATTATTATGTCAACAACATTATTATTCAATTTATAGAGTTTATTTGTAGTTTACTAACAATAAAGGCCCGTATACATAAAGGGTAAAAGCATAAAGTACAAAGCTCAATAATATTCGTTAATCATAGAAAATTATTGATTTTGTTTCAACTTTCGAATGGATATTCATTAATAGTTTATATTACAGTTCAAATAAACATAAAATTTAGTTTTTTAATTTATGACGACCTAAAAGTATGAACTATTATTTTATCCTGTGTGTACAAACGAAATAATGTAATTATATAATTTCTGTAATCGTGTGTTTGTGTCTATATATATAGTCTGAAATTAGCCTTTTGTTTTGTTGAGCGGAAAACGGAGTGGAGCAAAACTTGTAGGTGTAGTCAAGACATTTGGTTTGTAACCGTGTCATCCAATTTACATTTTTTTTTTCATCAAAGCAAGCTACCTGTGCACGCACGTTACTCTTAAATCAATATAGGTCGCGACAAAGCCTTTTCTTGTAATCCTCTCATTTGTTAGCTTCATTATAGAATCTTATTCAGGCAACGGATTTTGCTTGCGTTCCATTTGTTCTGCGATGGTTCTTTACTGATGCACTATCGTACGTCCGCTCCGTAAGATCTCGACGTAAAATCGTGACGTAAAGTTACGCAAGCTATACAATGTTTTCAAACAGCTAAAAAAACATCGCACACATTCCAAACATACCCTTGCGCTAATGAGGCTTTTCAGTGATATACTCAATCTTAAAAAGGTACATATAACTACAGAGAAAAATGACAAATAAAGCTTAAATGTTTTACAAAAAATAACTCTAATTCACTGCGTTCTTACAAAATTTCGAATTTTCTCTTCGTTTAGCTTGTTTTTCGACGATTTCCGAACTCATGGATCTATTTTAGATCCGCTTGCTAAAAAATTCTCTTATAAATGCACAGTGCGTGGAGTCTTCTGTATTCGTAGACAACGAAATAAGCTTATTGATTGACCTTACGAATTCACCACTCGCGACTTCATGATTCACCACTTCATGACGTCTCCTATTTTAAAGTAATAATTCGGTTTCAACTACTTAGAGCGCTTCTACAACTCTACTTGGAATTCCCGATGCTATCACTTCCAAAAATTATTCTTCACAAGCACACGTAAGTTCCACCTAGTTTCTGTTTTCATTCTCTTTGATTCTTTGGAATGGCTCCGACGGTGAAATTATATAGGCTTGCCTATTCGAAAATGTTCTGGTGTCAGTACAGGTACTTCTCCACCTAAATTATATTACCCCAAAAGTCGATAATTGAGACAAGCCTTCAAATATCAACTTTGCTTTCCCGATGATCCTTTTCAAGTGGCGTTTCAAGACTTTATGTTGGCTTTTCACAGCTCTTCAAAGTTCGGGACACTTGGCGTAATAAATGACCATTCAACTCTACCTCGAGCTATAGCAACGGCAATCTCCCGACACATGATCGACGTCTTACAGATCAGTCGTCACAACTCGACGTAAGCCCTCTGGAAATTTGTTGTATTGTCGCTATTCAGAGATGTACACAAACCACGGCGATTTGTAAGTCGCCTAAACGCAGCCAATAATGTGCAACAGATGTGAGATCCGATGTAATTTCGATATGCACAATTTTTATGACTAAACAGATGAATATTGCAGCATACCTGAATATATATATATATATATATATATATATATATATAATAGATTGATCAGTGGCACTATCATTGATCACTCCCGTCGTTAATGACAGCTCTTTTTTTATTCGTTTCTTCACATTCAAGAGCTTTTTTCTGATTATTTGTAGCGTTTATTTGACTATGTTTCCCTGCCAAGTAATCTCTATGCATATATGAAAAAGGAAATCGTGTTTTAAACGAACAAATATACATATTTTGAAATATAACTAATACTAAAAATATATTTACCATTATAGTTAGAAGTGATAATAATTGATATTTTAATGTTCTTGGTATTCGTAGATTTTAATTACACTGTAGAAACATCACAGTTGTATTTAATAATTCATTATATATTGTCATTGTGTTTGATTGCTGGAAAACTAATAGATGAAATAAGTCTTGCATGTTGTATTATATATAATTATATGAAATATCTGTGTGCGCGTGTGTGTGATGAAGAGTGGAAAAAAAATTCATTCAAATCTATCGAGTAGTTTGATCAAAAATTAAAATTATGTGATTTTGAATAATTATGAAACTTATAGTTTTTTCAATTATTTTCGGTCCTATATACGGTATTCGTTGAATTGTATGTTAGAGTTTGGTAATAATTCTATTTTCCTATCATTCAAAAAAGTCGTATCTCTAGTTATTCCCATTTTTAAGTTAAGGGGTAAAATATTTTAAAAAAGTTATATTTAAAAAAATAATACATAATCTATTTCATAATTTTACTGAAGGTGTCTCATACTATTAGTAAAATATCCTGTAAATCTCAACTTTTCGTATAGATTAATTTCCACAAAAAAATGTTTTGTCTAAAAACAAAATTTTTTTTTATTTTACGATAACAGAAGTAAATTGAATTGAAAGGCTTAAAAAAAATAATTTAAAAAGAAAAATATAGTTAGAAATTGAATTTGTTGACGAGGAAGCTAGCTGTCAATAAGTTGGCAGCGTTTTTGTACAGTTTTGAAGTAGGTACAGTATTTAAATTTAATTAGGAAATTTCGAGAAAGAATCTATTGAAACTGGTTCTTCAAAAACATTTTTTTATACACAGCTACGAATTTGAACTGTACTGTTGAGAATAAAACATCGAACTGGAGTGAAAATGATATTTTCGCTACTAAAGTTTGAGAATAACTGTTGGAATGGCTTCTGCGGAAAACTGTGGCCCTTTAGTTCCACTCACTCCCTGAGAAAACGCTCTCAACAAATAGAAATTATACTTACAATTTTTTTACGAATTGTATATTTTCTTTTCCTTTCAGGAATTGCCCTCTTTTGATAACAGCAGTAGGACCATCCTCTTTCTTTTTTTGTAGTTTACGAAAAGATAGTCAAAAATCATTAGTAGCAGTCTCAATTACGAATGAAAGTTCGATATATAAAACCTATTCAAAATCTTGAAAATACCTTGTTGTAGATAGATGAATCATATTCCAACTCAGTAAGGGTAACAGTATCGAGATGCAGCATTCAGTATAGTTCATTGTGATAAGAAGGGCTAACGTGTACCGACTTATCAGTAGTTATTACTTATCGAAAAATAGTGCACTCTGCATATAATAAATATATAGAAGAATCATCTGCTTTTTTACAATTTACAAAAAGATACATGGCAGTTTAAATCAATAATAGCAATCAGCAGGTAAAAAAATGTACTTAAATTTCTAAGAAAATTTAATTAATTGAACTATATACAGTGCCGGTCAGCCACTTTTACCCCCCCACGGGCAAAATCAGTCTAACTTCAAAGTTTTATATCTCTGGTAGAAATTAACGTACAGAGACGCGCGTGGGTGCGTTTGAAAGGTCTTTCGGAGAGCTTTCAAATGATATGACTCACGGTTGCCATCGATTGTTTTTTTAAATTTTGCAACA